CCCCAAAACCCCAAAACCCCAAAACCCCAAAACCCCAAGATGACTTTGTGATATTGAAGATATTTATAATAGTAATTTTATCCACCTAACTTTTGGTTCTTTATTTCATTTAATCTCACCTTAGCATAGTTGGACTGGACTTCTATAATGTTTTCCAAACCCACAAATTTGTTTTTGATGGCATTTTCAAAAACTGTTGCAAACTTGGCATCATAATACATTGTGGCTGGATCAGCAAATCTAACCATTATTCCTGATTGAGAAAGGTAATAATAAGCTTCTTTAGCCTCCCAGAAATTATGGAATCTCAGAGAAATATTAGTTCTTGGTTGAACCAAAGCTTTCTCTAGGTTAACTTCAGGCAATGCTTGGAGTTTTCCAACTGTGCATAAATCTTCACTATCAAATCCATAATTGAGTAAAATATCGTTTACGTATTCTCAGCAGAATCCTAAAGAGTTTTTACTAAATTCTCTTGATGAAATTGTGAGAGTATTAGCAAAATCAGCATCGTTGAATAAAATGTTTCCTTGTTGATCAAAGAATTTCATTCCAAACCTGTATGCAGGACTCAAAAGAAAGTTCAGTTTCGATTCATAATCTTTGAACTCAACTATCCCATTGAAAAATATTCCTCTGTTTAAATTTTTCATTTGTTTTCCTTTCCTAAAAATACTATTGGAAATATCTTCCTTCTCTTGTTCTGTGAGATCAACATAACCTTTAGCAATGTCTACATTCGATTTAGTGACTCTGTAATTTAAAGACCTCAAAAGTTCAAATCTATGAGCTTTGAGTATTTTCTCAAAACCATCGTCAGTTTCCTTGAGTTCTTCGTTCTTCGCAACTCTTTCCATCATTTCTTCAAAACCATCCATTTCATCCTGGGTGGGTCTTGGAGTTGCTCTTGAGACAGTTCTGGCAAGTTGTTCTTTCCTAAATATATTGTTTTGTTAGTTTTACCTTGTGAATAGTTCAACATCTGTGATTCCTCCATATTTCTCAAGCTGGTTGCTGAACTCATCTAGAGCTATCTCTTCATCAATCATATCATAAATTTCTTGATAGTCAATACACCTTGACAAATCTTCATAAGTGAGTTGTCTGTGCTTGTAGTTCTTAAATTTAGTTAAGTTTTGAGCAATTAGAGGCAAGTTTCTAAACATTACATAATTGCTCTCCTCAAATCCTCCCTTAGCCTCATAATTTTCTTGAAGAAGAACATAATAATCAACAGGAAGATACTTCACTACATCTCTTGGTCTATGGATTAGTTTTTCATGAGAACTAAAGAAAGAGAAGTAATTATCAGGCTCTGAATATTGTTGGATGCTATCTGCTTGAGAAGAAACTCTAGGCTTATTGTCTTCAAATCCAGAGTCGTCTTCCTCATCTTCATCTCTTTCTCTTTGGCTCTCATTTCTTTCTAATATTTTCGTCATTTCGTTCTCATTATCATAAATGTCCTAAAATTTTAATACGAAAATTTACCTTTTGGTCTTCCAAAGAGCGTGTTTCGTGTAAATTTGTGACTTTGTAATTGTCAAAAATGAACCTTGCCTCTGGAACAACCTATAATTTAGATTATCAAAATACTCCAGCAGCAAACTTCTTTATTTCTTCGACTCTAAGATTTTCTTCAAATCGATAATCAACAGAGTGTTTGTGGTAAGCATCAAGCATCTTGTCAGTGTGAAGAAGGTCTAGATTAACAGAGGAAATTTTCTTCATTAAAAACTCATTCAATTGATCAGATCTAGTCAAATGAGACATCTTGTCAAGAAAGACCAAGAAAGAATTGGCAGAAAGCTCATGATTCTTATTGCTCAATACATCTTTTCTTAACTCGTTGATATGCTTTAGAAGTACAATAAATCCTCGAGAGTCTAAATGAGTGGCAGGAGCTTCTGCTGAAAGAGATAAATTCTTTGAAATAAATTCCATAAAGTCATTAACTTGCTCTTTAGCCTGCTTAGTCTCCTTTCCATAATTTCTGTACAATGATTCTGCTCAGAACTTAATAAGAGTGTTGTATCTGTGCTTCTCAATCATATTTAGATTGCTTGACGAAGACTTCAAGATCATACTCACTCGAGGGTCATGTTTATATGTTTTATGATAACCCTCAGTCATCTTTCTTCCTTCTTGAGGATTTCTTGGAGTTGTACAGAATAATCTAGAAGCTTTATATGATAAGTTACCTGCTAAATCTAAAGGGCATCCTATTAAGCCTAGTTTTTCTGAGGCAAGCTTTCATAAACATGATTGCAAAAATATTTATATTATAATTTTTAAGCCATAAATACCTAAAAGAGTTTACCGGGGTTTTGGGGTTTTGGGGTTTTGGGGTTTTGGGG